GCCTTCCTGTTCTTGGCTTGTTCTGCTGCCGCTTGGAGGGGTTCCAGGAAGGGGACACAGCATAGATGACAGCAGTCTTTTTTTTTTTTTAATTTAAATTTTATTTTATTTTAAATTTATTTATTTATTATGTATACAATGTTCTGTCTGTGTGTATGCCTGTAGGCCAGAAGAGGGCACACACATACACACATACACACACATACATACACACACATACACAAACATACACACACACACACACANCACATACATACACACAGATACACACACATACATACACACATACACACATACACATACATACACATACACACACACACATACACATATACATACATACACACATACACACATACATACACACATACACACACATACACATACACACACATACACACACATAGACACACACACACACACATACACACACACACCATTCCCTCTCAATTTTAAAACTTTGAATCTTAAAATTAAAGGTTTTCCAGGGTCTTATTAATTTAGCATATGAAAGTTATATTTAAACTTTTTGAGTGAAATAATTACTAGGTTTGTTCCTTGTTTCTATCCATATAATTTATGGTAGGGCCTATGCTTTAGTCTGTTCTCAAGCTTTCAAATTCCTTTGACAGCCTGGATATGAAATTAAAAAACTATTAATGTGATGTGTTAATTTTGCACTTTTTGACTTACTGCAAAAAAATCTTAAAGTTTCCATAGCAACAATAACCTATCCAGATTGTGTAATATTCTTTACAGTATTAAAAATAAAACTGCAACTCCATGAGTTTCTCATGTAGGAGAACTGGGAGTTGAGAGAGTTCAGTGAAAAGGAAGTTGTGATTGAATATGGATAATTTGTCAAAAAGCTTTTTATAATTTTAAGAATTGATAACTTTAAATATTCAGCAGCAGATAGCTGGTAGTTATATGAATACTAGACACGGAACATGTGCATTGTGAGTATTTGTCTCAGTATCCCAAGCGCCCTGGGCTCCATGCATCAGCTGCTCCTACCTCAAGGTAGGAGGTGGTTTCTAGCTTTATCTGCTCTCGGTCACCTGCTTGTGCTCTTTAGTGGTAATGAATGGTCTGAGAAGCCAGGAAACCGGGAAGAAAGAGGAAAAGGATCGTAAAAGCTTTTCCTGATGTTTGTGTTTGCTCTCTAAAACATGTCTAATGAACCTGGTATGGGGGCACAGGTCTTTCATCTCAGCACTCAGGAGACAGAGGCAGGCAGATCTCAGAGTTCAAGGCTAGCCTGGTCTATCTAAATACCAGACTAGAGCTTCAGACCAGTCAGAGCTACATAGTAAGATCCTGTCCTAACTGCTCCCGTCATCTGCCTAAGTTAATCATGTTGAAAATACCAAAGATTATTAAATAGGCAGTTGTTTTTGGAGTATCAGATTATTTTGGATCCCCCTCCATGCTAACTTAAATCCATTATATTACCAGTACCATTAAGTAGCTTGATTCTTGCATCTTAACATGTGCTTTTAATTTTTGTATACTCTCAAGTGTACATTTATATATATATATACATACTTAATAGTACTATAATCTGTATATTTTTCTAATAATCCATAGTTCTTCATCGCTTTCCATGGCTTTGTTGTTGGGGTTTCTGTCCTGCTCAGTTCCCGCAATTGTTAAGTCCAAAGAAATCACACAGAGGTCTACATTAGTTATAAACTGATTGGTCTATTAGCTCAGGCTTCTTACTAACTCTTATAACTTATATTAGCCCATCATTCTTGTCTATGTTAGCCACATGGCTCGTGATACCTTATTCAGCAAGGCAGACACATCTTACTTCTTCTGTGGCTGGGTCACGACTGCCGACCAAGCTTTTTCCTTTTCCCAGAATTCTCCTGTTCTTGTTGCCCTGCCTCTACTTCCTGCCTGGCTACTGGCCAATCAGTGTTTTATTAAAATACAATTGACAGGGTACAAACCATTGTCCCACAGCAGGCTGTGATAAAGCACTGACCAAAAACAACTTGGGAGAGAGGTTTTATTTCATTCCTACCACTGACGGAAGTTGAACAGGATTCTGGAAGCAGAAACAAAAGCAGAGAGGAGTGCTACTTACTGGCTTGTTCTCCATGGCTTGGCTTAGCTTGCTTTCCTACACAACTCAGAATCACCTGCCGAAGGGTGCCTCTGCATGAGTGGGCTGGGCCCTCTCACACCAGTCATTGATCAAGAAAACGTCCCACTGACCTGCCCATAGGCCAGTTTCTCAGTTGTGCTTTCCTCTTCCCAGGTGATTCTAGGGGAGCCATTTTTTTAAAAAATGAAAATAAAATAAAAGATGCTTAATTATCCTGATTGGCATATAATGGAAAAATAAATAAAATACTTAGACATTTTATTATTAATCTATTTATTTATTCATTCATTTATGGGAGGAAAGCATTTATAATTCATTTATTTACCCAAAGTAGGTAATTAAGAAAATATTCAAAAGAACTTTATCTTTCCTATTTCTGTTGTTTCCATCTGTCTGTCCTTCCATCCGTTCATCCGCCCACCCACCCATCCATTCATCCATCTATCTGTGGTAGAGATTAACCCTAGGGCCTTTGGCATGCTAGGCAAACACACTACCACTGAGCTACATCCCCAGATCACAATGGTATGTTAAAAGGTACATTATAAATAACATCTAAACTCTTTTGTTTACTATTAGATATAGAATGGGAAAAATGAGAAATAGTTAAGTATGACAAATGTGCCAGTTCTTTGTTGTTGTCCTTTAATAAAACCATCATGTCATGTACATCATGTGCCTCTAATACAGAGGCTCCTGGTCTTCCTAATGCTGTGGCTGTATAGATAGGTTTTGGTTTTTTGAGACAGGGTTTCTCTGTATAGCCCTGACTGTCCTGGAAGTCGATCTGTAGATCAGACTGGTTTTGAATCCACAGAGTTCCACCTGCCTCTGCCTTCCAAGAGTGAGATTAAAGGTGTATGTGACCACTGTCCAGCTAAAGTTTACCAGTTCCCCTCCTTTTCATTTTGTCAGTGTCAGGGATTGAACCTAGGACATTCTAGTGGAAGTCAGGAGATCTACCACTGTGCTGTAATAGCTCCTGCCCTCCAAAGACTTTTTTTTTTTTTTTTTTTTTTTGGTTTTTCGAGACAGGGTTTCTCTTTAGCTTTGGAGCCTGTCCTGGAACTAGCTCTTGTAGACCAGGCTGGTCTCGAACTCACAGAGATCCGCCTGCCTCTGCCTCCCAAGTGTTGGGATTAAAGGCGTGCGCCACCACTGCCTGTCGCTCCGAAGACTTTTTTGTTTGTTTTTTTTGAGACAGGGTTTCTCAGTGTAATCTGGTTGTCCTAGAACTCACAGAGATCTGTCTGCCTTCTGAGTGACGGAATTAAAGGTGTGCGTCGCCATACCTGGCTGCCGTGACCCTTTAATATAGTTCCTGCTGTTGTGGTGACCCCCAACTATAAAATTATTTTGTTACTACTTCATGACTATAATTTTGCTACTGTTATAATGTAAATATAATGTAATAATAATGTGAATATCTGTTTTGATGGTCTCAGGTGACCCCTGTGAGTACTCCACAGGTTGAGAACTGCTGGTCTGGATATTAAATATTTGCAAATATCTGATAGATTTTGCCTTGAGTGCTGTGCTCTGCTGTGCTGCTGTGGTATAATAGGAAGTTGTCAGCTTCATTGTGTTATGGGACCACCAGTATGTGTGATTTTATCATTGGTTGAAATTTCATTATGCAGTCATGCATGACTAATAGGAAAATGTACAGAACCATTGTTGTCTATTGATTTTTTAGTGGAAATACTTATTTTTATTCTTTTTATTAAATATAGCTGTACATAGTGAAAATCAAACCTTCAACATTGCAGTTGTACATAAAATGTAAAAGCTTTCCTTTTTATTGTGTGTTTCTAATTTCCCTTTGCTTCTCAGAAGTAAACAGTACTGTTAACCTCTCATTTTATTCTGTTGCTCAGGATCAGACCTAAGATGTCTTGGCTGGTAACCAAAAGACAGAAGTTGGAGGGTCATAGATCATGTCCCTGTTATTAGAACAAGCCATGACATGATTTGTGTTTACCAGAAAATCAAATCACAGTTATGACCGTCAGCTGGGACCGTCTTGTGGCTGCTCTGGTGTCTGTACACTGAGGATATTAACTATTAAAGTAGCCACTCATCTGATTTCCCGCCTCTGTTATTGAAACACTATACTGTATTAGTTAAAACCCTGGTAACTGTTAGGCTTCCCTATATTCCTAATCCTGTCTCCATTGCTTGGTGCTGTTTTTTTGTTTGTTTTTTGTTTTCAGGCTTTTCACGTTTCTCTGTGTAGCTTGACTATCCTGGAACTTACTCTGTAGACCAGCCTGGCCTCAAACTCACAGAAATGTCTGTTTCTTGTGCACTGGGGCTAAAGGTGTGTGCCAGCACTGCCTGGCTACCTTTGCTTGTTTTCAAACCCATGCTTAACTACTGCATTTCTCTAGGAGTGTTTGGAGAAAGTGATGTTGGTGCGAAGTTTTGAAATCTTAAAAGACTTTTGCTTGGCGCCTTGGAATTTGGGGCCAATTAAGTGAGTCTGGTAGTTTTTATCTGTTGGTTATTTTTTAGTGATGGTTTATAACAGAATGCTTCTGTAGACTGCAGATAATTAAGAGAGGAGTGACAGTCATCTTACAATATGTTTGAGTTTATATTTATCCTTGTTTACTCTTTGAACTAGAGCTGTTTAATATTCTGTTCATTTTGCATTTCATGTTTTAGCTCTGTCTGGTTTTTCCTTAAAACATGAATATTTTTGGTATTTCATATTCCTGTAGTAGAAGTATTATCAAAAATAATAAGCAGTGCATTGCATACTGAAAATGTTTACATGTCATTGAGAGACTAAATACGTTTCCATTATTTTTATAATTATAATTTTAAATCTAAAAGTAATATATGGAAAAATAAAGCTGTTTTGTTTCTTTTTCACACGCAGAAAAGATGAAAAAGAATATGCACTGAAGCAGATCGAAGGCACAGGGATATCCATGTCAGCTTGTAGAGAGATTGCAGTAAGTAGATAAAGATGGTTTATTTTGTTACCAATATTGAAGCTTATTTTCAAATAAATTAATATAAAATATGCAATAATGTATTACTTAATTGTATAGTAAGTGGTAATTTCACAGATTTAATTTTAGGATATTTTATATAAAATGGGAAAATCTGTAACAAAATCATTTGAAAGTCACGTTTGAACATTTTCTTGATGATTTGATATTTATAATTTAGAGATAGTGAATAACATAATTGCGTTAGTGAATAATTATCGGTTATTTTTCTGTAATTTTAAGTCTAATATTTCCTTTTTAAAAATAAGAGATTTTACTTATTCGTTTGTATGCATGCATGACTATATGAGCTTATGTGTACCATATGTGTGCTAGTGCCCAAGGGGTTAAGAGGGTGTCAGATCCTTGAACTAGAGTAACAGGCACTGTGTGGTTGAAAGGATGCAGGGAACCTCCCCCTTTTAGAAGGGAACATTCACAAGGCTTTTATTTTTATTTTTTTTAAATTTTTATTTATTTATTTGTTATGTATACAATAGTCTATCTGTGTGTATGCCTGAGGCCAGAAGAGGGCACCAGACCTTATTACAGATGGTTGTGAGCCATTATGTGGTTTCTGGGAATTGAACTCAGGACCTTTGGAAGTGCAGGCAAGGCTCTTAACCACCGAGCCATCTCTCCAGCCCCTCACAAGGCTTTGTTTGCTATCTGACTTAATCACCTCCCACCTCACAGAGGGCCCAAGAAGTAGTGGCTTCAGTTTGGGCATTAGGATTTAAAGTTTTGAGTTGTGGCTGAAGCACTTAAACATTCAGTTTATTTAGCACTGGGATGATGGCTCGGGAAAGTGCTTGCTGCACAAGTCTGAAGACCGACTTTGTCCCTAATACCCAGTAAAGCTGGGTGGCCTGACTGCATTTTTGTGTTTCTGAGGCAGAGAGGGAGGTTCCCCAGAGCAAAACGGCTAGCCAGACTCAGTGAATCAAAGTGCTCTGGGATCAGGGGCGAACCCCTACCTCAGTAAGTAAAGTGGAGTACAATCTAGGAAGACACTGATGTCCACACATGTGGCCATACATGCACACATATCACATACATAAACACAGAAAACAAAAACCTCATTTGTGTTATTGCCAGAGAGCAGAGAGAGGCCAAGAAGCCGCCTCTCCCCAGTGCTGAGAATTGAACCCAGCACCTCATATACCAACCACTGAATTTCCAGCACTAATACTGGCTTGTCTGCTTGCTGCCTCTCTCAGTTCTGGCCTGCAGTGCTGAGAAGTCATACTTCCTCAGCGACTTCTGCTTGGCTATTTCCAAATCTATGTGTCCATCCACATTCCAGCTCTGGTGTTCCCAGGGTGACAGGGAGATCAGCTGTTAGGAACTGTCACTGTCATCTTTTGTACTCACTGTGCAGTAGGTAGGCAGGAATGGAGTGGCCAGTGAAGGACTTGCCTCTGCTTGTTTTCGCTGTTGCTCTCCGACTAGGCCAGCCGGCCATTTATAAAGTTCAGTGGAATGCTTATAACTTTAGTATAGATGGACAAGCCTTTGTTTTTTTTTTTTTTTCAAATTATGAAACGGAATTGGTTGAATGCATATTAGCTGGTAATTAACTCTGATACAAGCTTTGAAATATCCATGAATAAAGCTGTTTAAATTCTCCTAATTTATCTCTATAGAATTAACATTATGGGTTAAATTTCATATGTTAAAAGTGGAGAAGTGCATGGCATTAGACAATAATTTTAAGAGTTTTATAAATAAAGTTTTTATTAACTATAAAAAAGTAGAGAAGGTGCTGGAGAGATGGCTCAGAGGTTAAAAGCACTGGCTGCTCTTCCAGAGGTCCTGAGTTCATCCTCTTCTGGTATTAAGCATACATGGAGGCAGAATGTTGTATATATAATAAATAAATGCATCTTAAAAAATAAAAAGTAGAGAACTGTCTTGTTGGAATTATTTTATTGTATCATTTTATGTTTCAGTGAGCCTAGATATCCCTCAACTCTATGTCCAATCTTGTGAAAGTATAGATTTGTGGAACAAGGACTATAACTCAGAATTTTACCCTTCCTGTGAATGGATTAGATTTCTGTGAAAACCTCTAAAAGCTGACCACTTTTTTAGAAGATATTTTTTAACAGGATGTTCTATGGTGATTTTTTCATAAAAAATTTACATGGTTTTTAGAGCAGAACTAAAGAAATTTTATGTGCTTTATTTTGAACAGAATCTCTACTTTTGGATGTTTTCTTCTTTTTTTTCCTTGTTTTTTTGAGACAGGGTTTCCCTTTGTAGCCCTGGCTGACCTGGAACTCACAGAGATCCACCTGCCTCTGCCTTGTCATAGATGTGCACCACACCCTGGGGTCCCTGAGTTTGAGGCCAGCCTGGTCTGCATTGGAGTTCTAGGCCAGACAAAGCTACATGCATAGTGAGACTTTTTCTCAAACAAGCAAAATATCTTCTATATTAAAGTATAAAATTTACTATGTTTCTATGTGTGTTTGTATGTATCCATTTATATCTGTGCATGCCTTATACAAGTGCTTGTGTGTACATGTGCATGTGGAGGCCAGTGGTGGCTGTCAAATATCTTTCCTAATTGTTTTCCACCTGTTTTTTAATTTTAAATAACATTTTTTTTAAATCTTTGGGAATTTATAGTGTGTTTTGAGCATACACGCAGTTCCTCCCTTATCTAGCCCTTCCACTTTCACCGTCTGACATCTTACTTGTTGAGGCATAGTTTCTTCTTTAATCTGAAGTTTGCTCGTCTGGCTAGACTAGCTAGCAAGTCTCAGAAGTCCCCCCCATCTGTGGCCGTGCACAGGGAGTACAGGTGTGTGCAGCCTGCTTGGCTGTTATGTATGCTGATGTTAGGTCCTCCTGTTTGCATAGAAGCACTTCACCGACTGATCCATCTCTTCACGCCTTAAACTGGAAGCTTTAATTCAATTAATTTGAACAGTGATCCTGGATGACCATTTATCTGTTATTATTTATTTGCAGAGAATGTGTACATGTAGGCATGCATGCGCGTGCGCGCGCACACACACACACACACACACACACACACACACACACACACACACACACGGTGGCCAGAGAACTACTTCCAGGAATTGGTTCTTGTTTCACTTTGTGGAGGCAGTCTTTAGTTGCTGCACTACACACCCCAGAGTGGCCAGCCCATGAGCTTTTGGACTCACACGCCCATCTCTACTCTCCCCATGGGAGTGGGGTTCAGGGATCACAAGTACTTGTTTGTGTGTGCATACTTGGCAGTCATGCCATGTTTGTGGAGGTCAGAGGGCAACCTGTACATGTCAGTTTTTCTTCCCACTGTGTGGGTTCAGGGATTAAACTCAGATTGTCAGACTTGGAGGCAGTTGACTTTCAAAATAAGACATTAAAATGAGGGAAAACCACAAACAAAACTAAAGATATATTCCTTGGATTTCATTGTAAGGTGGGAAAGAACTTGGGTTCCGGATTCAAATAGATTTGGGGTTGTGTAGACTCCATCATGCCTCCTGCTTGTCTTGAACAAGCTGATAATGCTGGGATCTATTTTACCTATGTTTAGGTACCTATAGAGATGAGGATTTTTCTTTTCTTTCGAGACAGGGTCTCTTTGTGTGTAGCCTTGGTTGGCCTGGAACTCATACAGAGAAAAGGCTTAGAGATCCATGTTCCTCTACCTCCATAGTGCTAGGGTTAAAAGTGTGCACTACTATGCCCAGCCTTTTTTATTTTCTTCTTGTGGTCAGCTTCATTTTTATGTTATAAAGGGTTTATTTTTTAGGTCACAATTCAAAGTACAGTCCATTGTGGAGGGAAATGAAGGGGCAGGGACTTAAAACAGTGAACTCTCATTTCCAGGAGGTTGACTCTGCTAGTATTGTAGGAAGATACATTATTGATATCTTTAACAGAAGTCTGCTAAATACTTCTTTGTTTGTTTGTTTATTGAAATAGATAGATTCTAGCTGTGTAACTTGCCTGACACTTGCCACTGGGTTGGCTTTGAATTTGAGGCAGTTGGTCTGCTTCCTCTCAGGTGCTGAATTACAGGTGTTCCCCACCATGCCGAGCACATACATACTCCTTTTAGAAGTTCAGTACTTGGTATTGTCTTTGAATACTAAGATATTTGGACAGTCTGTCACAACAGAACATACACTTGTCTCCCCCAGCTATACCAGTTGGTAAATACTGGGCACTCCTTTTTGTGATACTTTGTGAAGCAAAATTTTTTATGCTTATTAAAGTCTTTTGAGTTTTTGAAACCTGGAGTACCCTTTTCCTCAGAAAATGTTGAAATAAATGGTGCTGGGGCCACAGTCTATTCTCTGAAAACCCGTCAGTCACTCAGGTGCCTGGGTTAGGCTCTCTGGAGGGGAGCTCTTATCTGCTTATCATTGTGCTATGGGGAAGCACATTCTCTTACTTGTAAGTGCATGTTCATTGATCTTTGTGCTTAGCCATTCTGCTGCTCAGCTCCAGCTGTAGCAGGATATGCATCGTGGATTCAAGTCCTGTACTGCTGCTCTTGAGACAAGGTCTCAGTATGTAGCTGAGATTGACCGTAAATTTTCATCCTCCTGCCTTAGCCTCCCAAGTGGTGGGACTGACTTAAAATCCTAAAGCACCAGGGTCTTATCTTTTCATATTTAGTGATGGTGACAGGCAGGCTCTTTCAGGTTCTTGGGGTGTAAAAGAAAGAATAACTGGGAAAAATGAGACAAATGCAGGGGTTCTGTGGCAACCAGGAAGAAGAACTAGTATGTGTCTTACCCAAGCCGTGCAACTTGGAGCTGGTTCTTTGAAGATAGGGTGAACTAGGGGACTTGGGAGGCAGCTGGTGGCAGGGTGTCACATCTAAGTAGCCGTGTTATGTAGCTAGAGACCAGTGGACAAGGCAGCCTAAGCAGGGAAAGTCCACAGTGAGGTGGTGACACAGTAGTGCACATGATAGAACACTTAGGTGT